AAAGAGCTAACAGAGCTACAACAGTACAGCCGACGTAACAATGTGGAAATTAAAGGTGTCCCCGTGCAAGAAAAAGAGAACCTTGTAGCAGTGATCAAGAGCATATCAACCTATTTGAAAGTGGATATAAATGAATCTGATCTCGAGGTTGTACATCGTGTTCCAACCAGGGAAAAGTCACAATCGAACATCATTGCTAAGTTCATCTCCCGCATCCCCAGAGATAAGTTCATGAATGCCACGAAGAAGCAAAGATTGACCACTACAATCATAGGCTTTGAAGGTTCCACCCCGCTCTATATTAATGACCACCTATGTCCAGCTAACAAGGTACTGCTGGGCAAGGCATTAAAGGCGAAGCGCGAAAATAACTGGAAATTCACTTGGGTATCCGGCGGAAAAATTCTCATGAGAAAGACAGAAAATTCGCGAGTATTGCACATAACATGCGCAGAAGATCTATCGCAAATTTCCTGAGCAATGATGTTTGATTTTTCAAGTATCGACCAAGCTTGGCATGAGTACGAAAACTTGTCTGTTGTTCATTGCAATATTCGAAGTGCGCGAAGAAACTTAGACCAATTCTGCGCTCATCTGTCGCGTCATTCATTTGTATACGACGTTATCGCTCTTACTGAAACCTGGTTGAAAGATGGAGAATCTGCGCATGTTCCAGGATACACATTATTATCGCTACCTAGGAAGAGCAGTTCGCGAGGTGGGGGCGTTGCTCTGTTCCTTAAAAAAAGCATCGATTACCAGTGCATGCCTAACCACTCTACTAGCCAACCTGAATGTGAAGCCTTGTTTGTGCATTTGAAATGTGGCGTTATACTCGGAGCTGTTTATCGTCCACCTAGCTCGTCTGTAGCAGCATTCATTTCTACTATGGAAACTGTCTTAGACCCTTTGATAGCCTACAACCGCCCACTGGTTATATGTGGTGATTTTAACGTCGATCTACTTAAACATGAATACCCTGACTATGTATTGATGCTCCAGTCATATAATCTAATGAACGTTATCAATGCCCCTACACGAATAAGTGATAACTGTTCCTCACTTATTGATCATATTATTTGTGGAACTGATATGAGTGTTTTCGCCGGAGTGTATGACGTTACTATTGCTGATCACTGCCCCACTTTTCTGTTTGTGCCTAATGCTAATTTAGGACCTCCATGCCATAACTCAAAACGAGTTAAGCGGACAAACTACGCTGCAGTGCGCAAATTACTTGAGCGTACGGATTTTGAAGCCTTGTACCACAGTAATGTTCACACTGAATGGGAAAACTTTATTTGCCATATAATGGAGGCAATTAGCCAATCAACCCAAGAATACACAGGTCGAAGACACAAGGAAGCAATATGTCCTTGGGTGACGCGGGACATACTGAATGTTATAAAGAAAAAAGATACATACTTCACTAGATGGAAACAAAACAAAACAAATGAATACTATGAAAAGCAGTTTAAACACTTCAGAAACAAATCAGTCGGGATGTTAAGGAAAGCCAAGAAGCAGTATTACAGTGCTAAAATAGTCCAACAGAGCGGTGACATCAAGCAGGTATGGAAGCTAGTGCGTGAAGTTACGGGAATAGGCGAAAAAAAGCGCATTGCTCCGGATAATCCTACAACAAATACCGCTGATAACTTCAATAATTTTTTTACCAATGTTGGTAACAACTTTCCTGCTCAATCTCAAGCAGATCCTCTACATTCTTGCCAAAACAAAATATTTGAGGAAGACTTTCAGCTTGCAAGCGTAACCACTGAGGAAATTAGGTCAGAAATCCTAAAACTCCCATGCAATAAAGCCGTTGGTCATGATGGGATTACTACAAAACTACTGAAGGTAAATGTAGACCTTCTTTCGGAGCCTCTTTCCCGCATCATGAATAACTGCCTGCAAAATGGAACTTACCCAAATATCCTAAAGATAGCGAGAGTCGTACCTATTTACAAATCCGGGGATCGAGAAAATCCGAGCAGTTACCGTCCCATCTCGGTGCTCAGCATTGTTAACACGCTTTTTGAAAAGGTAATTAGGTCCCGTCTCTGTCAATTTCTAAGCTCAAACGACATAATCTGCCCTGAACAACATGGTTTCATCACAAATAGGTCAACGAGCACAGCTGTTTTTACACTAGCACAGTTCGTCAACTCAGTACTTCATGATAACGAAATTGCCGTCAGCGTTTTCTTGGATATACAAAAAGCATTCGATACTGTTTCGCATTCCATTTTATTAAAGAAATTAGAATCTTATTATGGCTTCACCGAGAAGACACTTCGGTTATTTTCTAGTTATCTGGCAGATAGAAAACAATGCGTCGTGTTTGACCGTATATCTTCAGGATTTAGAAAAATAACATGTGGAATACCCCAGGGAACCGTGCTAGGTCCTATGTTGTTTTCACTATACATAAATGACTTACCATCTGCTCTTTCACGCAAAACCATAATGTACGCTGATGACACTGCATTGCTTTTTCGAGGTAACTCTCTGTGCACGCTAAAAGAAGAAATCACGGCAGAGTTGGCACAGATTTCCGCATGGTTCGCCCGCAACAAGCTCGCATTAAATGTATCCAAAACTAAATATATCATATTTCATTCCAGAAGAAAAAACCTCGATTATAGTCAGCTGGACCTAGAAATTAACGACGCGCCCATTGAGCGCGTTTCCGCGTTTAAATACTTAGGGGTTCTAATAGATGAAAACCTGAATTGGAAAGATGAGGTTAATTACATATCCAAAAAGCTTGCTTTCGCATGCTTCACGCTCATTAAAGCCAAATGTTACTTTCCATATAATGTGCTACGATCATTATACTTCTCTATATTTCACTCTCAACTCAGTTATTGTAGCGAAATATGGGGCTTTACTTATCTAACGTATATAGCACCGATCATACGATTGCAAAAACGCGCCTTAAGAATTATTACGGCATCGTCCTCTTGTTGCCCAAGCTCAGATTTGTTTTCATCTACTCAGATACTGCCTTTCACGTCTCAGCGAAATTATAAAACCGCGGTGTTGATAAATTCTATCATTAACACCAATTTTCCGCTACCTGTGAGTGCGTTTTCTACACCGATCCGTAACACAAGGCATGCAGGCAACGGCAACTTCAACCTCCCTACTTGTAGGAATGTATATGGCGAACGGTTAATACAATTCACTGGTGCTAAAATCTGGAACACAATTCCACTTGAAATTAAACTTGCCCGCAACTTTAAATTCACTTGTAAAATGCATTTTGTAAGTTTTTCATGTTCTTAACCAAAGTTAAGCTCACGTCCACACTTTTGTACGACTCATCTGGCATAGTTCTTTTTCTTTCCTTCTTTTTGTTTCTAGTTCTGAAGTGAGTTCGATTGTATTGATTCTTCAACGCAGTTAATTTTGTGCACAAATTGTGCTAATATTGTGTGGTATCACTATCTTCTGTATTGTTACAATGTATGCCTTTAGTTCTTTATCACTTGTGTACTAAAAGTATTTGCAGCAATTTAGCATTTATTGTCATGTGTATTTAATTCGATAAAATATACCTTAAAAGCTACCCTGTCATTGAATTTGTGTATAGATTCATAATCATATTAACTGCACCTCTGCTCCTGACATGTAATAAAATAATCATGTAATAGATTGGACCACTGACTAGCCACACAGGCTAATGGTCCAAATACTTTTGTAACCATGTTTTTGTATTACGTTGATTGAATAAACACTGATGATGATGATGATGATGATGATGAACTGTGTGTGGTTGCCGAGGCCCGTCAAATTTCCACTTTCAACCCACGACAGGCATTCCCGCAAAAAGGCTAGGTGTTCGGACCCTTCCGAAATTGCATAACGTAACTTGTCACTGGCTTTTTTTACAGAAGAGCTATTCAGACAGTCGAATAACTTATCTATCTTCTCGAGAAAATCAGCTGTTGGTTTGGCGGATGCCGGCAACACGCCAAGAGCAATGAATACATCAATGGCCACTGAGACCGATTCGCTCATCACCTGGCTGGCATATTTAACTTTCATGTTATTGAAAGGCTTCCTGTAAATGTGGTTGTCGGTTAGTTTATTCGCCAATTTGAGTTTGAGAGGATGCGAGCTTTCCTATAGTTGCGTAATGAAAGACCAATCCACAATTTCTTGCCCGATATGGAGCTTGTGAGATGCGCGGAGATTATTCCTTGTGCATTTAAGTAAGTGTGGTGTGTCATATAGGAAATAAATCTTGCGGCCTTCAAGCACAAAAAACGGCTCTTCAGGCGTCACACCTAGCTTACTTGCCAAAGTGATGTTGCTTCCCCCCTGGTCGCAGATGAGCGCCTTCACAAACAACCGGGCTCCCTGCAGCTACTTGATTAATGTTACGATCAGATGATGAAGAGTATCTGCGGGCGTTTTGGTCCTTGATACTGTGTAAGCAACAGGCTGAATCCACGTTTTTGAAATGCCTGCCACAAGTATCAGGAGCACTGAATTTGCCACGGCTGGTGTTCTTTGCCTACCGTCATCGGAGAATCCCATCACAATGTCATGCTTTGCATCATACTGCAGATGTTCCTTCAAGGACATTTCGTCAAATATTAATGTGCACGCACGATCTGTTAAATGCCAATTTCGGGTAGCTTCTTCGAGGGCTTCAATAGTGGTTGGAATAACTCCGGGAGTCATCGGAATATTTGATAACCACTGCTTTAGCGACCTCACAGTTGGCATGTCAAGCAGTCTTGACAGATGTCTGTACGCTTTCGGACCATGAAAGTATAAGTTTAAAGCGAACTGGCGGTGCTCGGGCGACCACCTCCGTCCTCTACGTTTCACGCCATTAATTTTAACTTGAGTCTCAAGCAATCTAAAAAATGTCTTGCGGACGTAGGGCCTGATAGCATTCAACGCCTCGGACTGGGAAAGCTTTTTAACTTTTCTCTTGCCAATTCTTGACAGTGCCTTCTGAAGCCTTGAATTTATCTTCTCCAGGTTCTTCATTTTTCTGGCTGTCTGGGGCGAGCACCTAGAAGGCTTGTGTTGTCGACCCGCTGGATTGGAACCTGAAAGATTTAGATAAAAAGCTCATTTATACTGTGTTTTTGTGAAAGCTGACCATGATCCTTAAACCTAGTAAAAGTTCTAGCGGCTTTTAGAATTGATGTGATTACTTCCATGAGTAATCAGTTGGTCATATTTAGTTCTAGATCCTTCACTTATTCAAACTTGGGGTATTGGGAACAGGCCTCTGATAAGCACACTGCTGGGAATTGAGCCTACTAATGGCATGTATAAGCATCGTGGGCAACATGAAGCGTTAACTAATTTTTCCTAATCATTAGCATACTCCTTGTTAACAAACATTATTGGTTATACGTTTAAAATGGTATGTTTAGAAAAAAACAACGAATTCATAGTCTTCTTTAAAAAACACTAATCCCTCTTATATTAATAATAATAATATCTGGAGTTTAACGTTCCAAAACCACGATATGATTATGAGGGACGCCGTAGTGGAGGGCTCCGGAAATTTCGACCACCTGGGGTTCTTTAACGTGCACCTAAATCTAAGCACACGGGCCTCAAACATTTTCGCCTCCATCGAAAATGCAGCCGCTGCGGCCGGGATTCGATCCCGCAACCTGCGGGTCAGCAGTCGAGCGCAATAACTACTAGACCACCGCGGCGGGGCACTAATCCCTCTTAGGAGGCAACAAACAAGCAAGAAAGGAATCGGACAAGCACTCGTCTCGTCCTGCCTTTCGGTATACATCGCTCTGGTTCTCGTCCCCTAGCAATGAACTAGCTCGCCCATCTGACACCCTAGTGCACTTTAGGATCTGTTAAATGGTACGTGACATAAAAACGATAGCTGCAGGGCATTAGTTTATCTGGAATAGTTTTAAAGGGCTTAGAGAGCAATACAATTTGCGTACATGAGGGCTAAGTCTGTTGAACTTCTTCATCGGCGCTGTGAGCGGGCATTGCAGTGGTATTCGCGGGCCGAGGAGAGCCTGTGAAGAGAAATTGGCGGAGCACAGATTTCAGCGTGACATACATACAGCTGGTATTAGGCGTCACATTAAATATTTGCAATTACAATCACTCAGGGCGTTTTCTCACTATTAATTGGTCTCCTCGCGTATTATGTCTCAGTACGAGTAATAAAAAAGTGTAAACACACAAAAAGAGAACGCTACGTGTCACTCACTAAATATATGGGTGTCCCAACTATCCTAAACCAATATTTTAAAGATCTTAATGCGATGTGCCTAGAACAGGTTAACATCGTGGTGCCCGTGAGGACCTAGCGCGTAACCGAATTCTTGCCAATTACACTTATTTGGCCCATTGAAAATAAAAGTAATTTTGTAATAATAAAGCTAATAAAAATAAAGTACCTTTTGGATTCTTAATTTTAAAAGCGACTTTGAACTAGGGTGTCGTAGAATATATATATATTTCTAAAAGGCCAGTTCTGTTGCTCCCACTGTCAGAGCTATCGCGCAATTGTTTTAACAGCGACACCAAGTTGGCCGCTTATCACTCGCCATGTGCGAAATAGCTGATAACGCGCCACATGGAGTACTCTCTCAAGTTATGAGGTCATTTTCGCCTTTTCCTGTAAAACGCTACGCCACGGGTAAAATAGCAGAGACAACTGAATCAGAATCGAGGAGGTTACATGTAGAGCGTTCTGAGTGAGACGTTTGCTCTAAATTTAACGATTGTGAAGCCGGCAAATTTTTAACTTAGCTAGTTATATCTACCAGCAAAATCATGCCGGCGAATGCATAGATGCTGTGTGCACCATGCGTTGGTATTGTTGGTGTAATCTGCGCGAGAATCTTAAAAATACCGAGTCATGATAACTCGGACAGGTACACATATTGAGTATTAAGACATTTCTGTAAATAGATGTAGAGGCATGAAAGTTTGTGCTGTTGTATGATCACTTTACAGTATTTCCACCTGGACTTTCGACGTGTGTCTGCCCATCGCCAAAGATGGAAACTGTTGGCACAGCACATCTTAGCAGCCTTGTCTGTCCAGGGTCTGCGTAGTCTCTGCAGGTGAAATGGGCAGGGCACAGGCGGTAGCTGCTGTAGATCTGACGAGGTGGTAAATGAGCCAGGTCCTGCCGTCTCGCATAGTGAAGCCAAGCGCGAGATCTGGAAAATCAATGTGTGCGTGTGTAGTATTTGGGTTAGAATGGATTTATTTCTGTTTTCAGGCGTATATGGATAGCTTTGAGCGAAAACTGGCATCTTTATTCGAAGTAAGCGTTATTTGATACATTTCTCATCTTCCTTTCTTAATTGAATTTTCGTAACCAAGACGACTTGTGATAGCAATCCTGAAAGCAAACTTTAAAATAAAATCTATCTTTATTATTAAGAGACGCGGATACATGCTTCTACTTGCGCGATAGTAATGTTTGGTGGCAACGACCCCAGCTTTCCACCTAACTCAAAATATATTTTTGCAGACAATAGCAATCATCCCACACCAAAATCTCTAAACAACTATTCGTACATATATACCCTCGCGCACTGCGTATTCCTCGGGAATTTCTCGCGCCCTGCTGCAAATCTTTCATAAAAACCTTAATAAAACCGGTAATAAATTAGTAGAACACGTAAGTTTACATTGTCCAATTATTTATGGGCTTTTAGCTGGAATTGCATTCTTGTAAATATATCGTAATTGTACTTAATGCTGAAACTGAAAACATGAAATTGAAGTATACATTATAAATTATTACTTTATAAATTTATTGCTAAATTCCTCTGCAATATGCCGTGGATTTACGTGAGGTCAAAATGAAAACACACAATTGAAACGGAATAATGTAATAACATGCGTCTAAACTCGCAAGTGTAATAATTTATGTACTCAGTACTTAATTAACATAGTACTAACAACACATGCTATGAACGTATATGGACCCTCCCTTATTGCCAAAAGATTATGGGAATCGTCTTCCTCCAGCTATGCACATAAATAGGCTGATAATATTCAAGAATAATAATAACGCATGCAACGAGAACAGACGGAACGCAGGCAATCAAAAGGTAATAAAAGAGTGCGGATAAGCTTACACTGTTCTATTAGTTACTGTATATGCTGCTACAAATACATTTGTGACATGCCTTGCATTGCCTTGAGCCAAAGTGCAACATCGAAATGCAATGCACGATCGAAACGCAATAAATTGAAAACGCAAGTATAAACAATCGTGCGTAGCAAATGTATTCGCTGGAATAATTTCCAGATGCTCTGCCGTGCATGTCATGTATATTTGAAGCCGAAAAGCAGACAATCAGAATGTAATGAATAAATCATGTACGTGTAGCTCAATTAAATTACACAGCTACTGCAGCAACCGCATCCTGATATGCCGTGCAAGCGTAGAAAGACAAAACGAGCAGCATGCAGATCGTACCTTTCGTCCGCCGGGATCCGAAAGAATTTTATGCCGGTGTGTCGTGAAGAATTCCGACACCACTCAGCGCAGCACGACTTGTGATGACGGCGAGAATCCATGGATGCGTCTGTTTGGCTGAATCTTGCATGGGTTTCGCTAAAACAAACTTTACAGCGGTAAAAGCGGCCTTTGGGACACCGCAGGCTGTAGCATACATGGGCGCGTGAAAAGAAACGCCCCCTTTTCGCCATGAGAGATAGGACGACTGCGCAGTTCCCGTTTTCCACTTCGGGTGGCGCTCTTATTTTCGCAATCTCAAACTGCAACCTTTAGGTTCACTTGTGTAGTAAAAACTCCGGAGTTAATGAGTAACCTAGTAATAACTATAAAATAGAACAAGAACGTTCATTTAGGTAGTACAGCCCCCAAACGTTAGGATCGCTGCGGTCACGGGACAGAAAAACCGCGAAGTTTCACCCCCCTGGTGAGAGTATGTGTATGTTTAGAAAAAGCGGGGAACTGTTTAGAGTACTAGGTACTCCCCTACGGGAAGGTTTAACGCCCCGTAAGCCTTATTGTATTTAGAAGAGTGATTAACGATTTAGAGTACAACGTACTCTACTATGGGAGAGCATAATGCCGTCCCGACTACAACCCACAATGCGGGGGCAACGTCTCCTTAATGCCGTCCCGACTACAACCCACAATGCGGGGGCAACGTCTCCTTAATGGTAACATAACCAACTTTCCAAAACGCCGAAAACAATCTGGTTTCTTTTAGCAAATATAGTGGCACCAGCAATCTTCACAATTGTTTTCTAAAAACACGTTTTTGAAGTGAGACTATACTTCACTGTGATAATCGGCAATGCTTTTCTTCACAAGTGACTTCAAACTTTTATTTCAAATAATAGGTTTAACTAAATGTACGTTGCGAAACTGCTCCAGACTATTACAATAAAGCTCGTCTGCTTCTGCCCGGGGAACGATGAACTGCGGTCTCGGGGAGTTCGGCTGCAAACAATACGGGGGTTTTGCTATGTCTATGTTTTCACGTCATTTGAGGTCCAAAAGTAAGGGTTGAAGTGGAGAAGTGGTGTTTACTTAAAAGAAGCCAAAGCCACGCATAGTGGCGCCGCGATGGATTGGATGAATGGATTGATATAACTGTACCCTTTAGATCGGGCGGTGGCCAACGCCACCAAGCCGCAACACTTAGTGAACCACAAACAAGATATATTTTTTCCCTTTAAATAGTGAGATTGAGGACCAGTACTCTGCAGTGAAGGGTTCAACTTTCGCTCGTACCTTGACTTCAGCCACCGATCAGATAACCTCCATCTATTCAATTCTGCCTGCCTAAAGTCTATTTTGCCCTCTCTGCCCTTAAACCCCAGTGCTTTGAAAAACTCCGCTCCATCATCTTGGACTGTAGGGTGAAGCCCTTTACAAAACATTATCAAGTGTTCGGCAGTTTCCTCCTCCTCTCCACACGCACTGCACGCCGTGTTTACGTCTTCCTATTTGGCCCGGTTTATCTTGGTACGCAATACTCCCGTCCTCGCCTCAAACAGTAGAGAAACACACTGCGACTCTGCACAGGCAGCGCCATCTTCGGTAGAAAAGTAGAAACCGGGGATGTATATCGCGCGTTTTCCCTCCCTTCCCATCACTGCGTTGCCGCTCGCTGACGTGCTCGTGCAGAGAGCGCGCGCTATGTTTGAGTCACCTCACAATGTACCACCTGCAGTGGGGCGTAATGAAGATCTATGAGCTGGACAAGAAATTACGAGGAACAAATCTAACAAACAAAAGTTCGTTAGTAAAGTTTCTGATGTGGAACAGATGACGGAAGACGAGGATGCCCGAATCACTGCGAAATGGATTATTCAAGTCCGTGACAATACCGTGTGCGACGTATGCCTCGAGGTGTGTCTCATTCTGCCGAAATGATGCCGCGAACTCTATCGATGTGCTGTGTTGACATTCATGGAAACCATATAATTGTTGTTTTGATGTGCTATATAGCAATAGCAGCCGTGTACTGTCATGTGCAAACGTTCGCGGTGTTCTAAAAAATAAATGAAAACAAAAGGTGTGCGGTCATGGCATTGAAATGTCCGAAAAGCTTTAGAGTCATGTCCTCCGTGCTGTGGGAGCATGACCCGCGGACGTCACCACGAAGCAGCAAGCTGAAGTTTATCCACAGCGAGTCAAGTTGAACTGCTCGCCGCGTTTTTTTTCCGGCTCTCGTGTCATGCTTGCTCTGTCTTTCACGAACGCGGCTGTGTTCGCCGGCTTTTACTTGCTGGGAAACTGATAGAGCTTTACATAACGTGGAGAGCGTCCCTTGATGTTGTCTTCATTGTTGCGGCAGCTCACAACACAACAATACTTCGGACCTCGCCTATGTTTCCGTGAGGCCGCTTCTTCTACCTCGGAAAGGCAACTTCGCACAGCGAGCGTCTAGTTTTAGCATGCCAAGCTGACGGCACGGCGCCTAAGTTCCCCGCGCCGACTGCAGAAGGCGTTGCGAGCGTGTCGCACGCGCTCTCGTTCCGCCGAGACACATTGACTCGACTGCAACCTCTCCCGCGTCTCTCCTCACGTTTTCCAGAGCTCGCCCCCAGGGCCAGATGCGGCGTTGTCGTCACTCCACAAACTTTAGCTTCGGTCCCGTATAGTTAAGTGCAAGTTAAGGTTCGTTTCCGGAACCCTCCATGCACTATGGCCTTTCTTACAATCATGTGATGGTTTGGAGACAATAAATTGAAACGATTAATAATAATAATAATAATAATAATAATAATAATAATAATAATAATAATAATAATAATAATAATAATAATAATAATAATAATAATAATAATAATAATAATAATAATAATAATAATAATAATAACATTAATATTATTATTATTATTATATTAATATTATTATTATTATTATTATTATTAATAATATTATTATTATTATTATTATTAAGAACAAAAGTGACCAGGCCTGCTGCAAGTCTTCACGTCCGATTCGTCCATGCTCAATTGAGAATTCATGACCTAATGAACGGGACCACACCTATAGATCATTCAAAGAACGTATAAAACGTGCAATTAAACAGTGTGGTCTAAGTGGCATGGGTTCAATTATTCCTAGTAAACATAAAGGCATGTACAATAAGACTGTGCAGTTAACATGTTCTCAGTTCAATAGTATTGAATAAAGACAAATGGGTTGGGGAAATTGCGTACAAACTGTAAGGCACTGTCGCGGCGTGCGTGCGTGCGTGTGCGGCCAAGCACACTGTTCTGGAATATAGTTGTGCTGACCGTAGCATATATTCTAAATACCAGGTGAGGGCTCCTACGAGTGCTCATTGCCTCCACATGCTTTAACGATAGCTTTGGTTTTGGCCTGGTCGTGATATCAGCGTTGAAAATGAACGCTATGGCCATCACTTTCCCATGATTCTTCCCACTTTTTTTTCAGCAAAACTACATAAATGGCGAGAGGTTCTTTCAAACAATGGGAGGGTGCGGGTGAGCGCATCTGTATATTTGGGAGTAATACGCGCCCACAGAAACAAGAAAACCCTGTTTCGATAATTTAAAGTATGTTATGATAGACATCCTTGCACA